TCCCTTAGGGCTTCGCTGGGGGGTGAGGGTGGCTGTAGCTGTCTGGTGCTGCCCCGTGAAACGAGGTAGAGGGCATTCTGTTGTTGAACTTGTGGCTTCTTCCAGGGAAAAAGCACTGGAGGAAGAGGGCTGGGTCCCTAGGAGACCCCAGCAGCAGCTCTGAGTCGTTCAAACCACCGGGGCCCAGAGTTAGCTCCTTGACTCTAGTTCCAGCTGTGCCCGGCTCTCACTGAGACCCTGAGCTCCCCTGAGTCTGAGACTCAGTCTTCCCCTCTGTTGATCCAGAGAGAAAGACTTCCGGGACTGCTTCCTGAAGGTTCAGACTCAGGACCTGATAGGCTGGAGCTGAGGGGGATCCGGGGATCCTCTGGGCCTCATCCATCCGTCCACACTCAGGCCTGTGCACCCGAGACCTGCCTGCCCACCGCCCCTTCCCTCCCAGCAGCGAGGTCATGGGCACTTCTCTGGGTGGGCTGTGGCCGCCCCTGTCCCTCAGGCCCCCGGCCTGAGTGAGGCCCTGGAGCGGGGGGAGGAGCGGGAGGAACAGAGGCGGCCTGTCCTCCGGGCGAGGGGGCCTCTGGCAGCGGCTTCCTGTGTGGTTCCAGGCGGGGGCCCAGCCCGCCTTGTGACAGAGGAGCCTTTCACGGGCCTGGCTCTCGGGAGGGGGAGCGGGGGGAGTGGAAGCCACTCAGGTGCAGGCTGCCCGAGAGTCTGCGTGTGGCAGAGCTGTGGGAGGGCTGACACGTGTATGTCCACACCAGGCTGGGCCTTGGAAAGTCAGGTCCCACTGCCTCCCACTTTGCAAATGAGGAGACTGAGGCCCAGAGAAGAGAAGGGAGGTGACGGAGACCAGCAGGGCCAGAGGTGGAGCTAAGCCCTGGGCCTGAGGTGTGGGTGAGGGCGAGTGTGCCCCTGGCGCTGTGTATCGTGCGTCCTGGGTGTTTGCTAGCACATGAGAGCACGATGGTGCGTTTGTGCGTGGGGAGTGTGGGCGTGTCGGTGTGGGGCTGGGAGTCACGGAGGGAGCCCCGTGGGGGAAGGCAGTGTCTCAGGCCTCCTGTGCCTCCTCAGGACCCACCCTGGGGCAGCGCTGCCCAGCGCCACCTTCTGCCTCATCCCAGGCCGCCGTCCTGATGCCCTGCGCTTCCTCCAAGCCCTGCAGGTACAATCCCAACTGGAGCGTTCCCCGTCCCCGCCCCCCACCCCCCTTCCGGTGCAGCCCGGTTCTCTGGGCCCTGGTAGGAGAGGGGAGCTGCTCTTTGCTCTGGGTCTCAGGTGCACCTGCGTCCATAGTTGTCTCACCCTCTGCACAGCACCCACACTTTTCTCCTCTTTGCTCCCCAAAACACGTCTCTCCTCTTTGCTTCTCGCCCCCAGTAGCAGCAGCTGCTGACTTGGACCTAAGAGGTGGGTGAGTGTGTGCAGGGTGGGGCGGGGCCCGCCGGTGACACCCCTGCCCCCCAGGCCGGCTGCATCCCTGTGCTCCTCAGCCCTCGCTGGGAGCTGCCCTTCGCGGAAGTCATCGACTGGACCAAGGCGGCCATCGTGGCAGACGAGAGGCTCCCGCTGCAGGTAGCTGAGGGCCCTGCCCATGGGGTGGGGGTTGAACCCAGGGCATGGGAGGGACCCCAGGATGCCAGCCCCCTGCTAGCCTCAGGCCCCTCTAATGTAGTATACTGATGATCCCTCTCACCACCCCACTTCCCCCACCAAGCCTCTGGGATTCCATAGGACCCAAAGGAGGCAGACTTCTGAGGGTTCTGAGAGCAGGTCCTGAGCCTCTTCCAGCCTCAGTTTCCCCATATGCACAATGGGATACGTTAGACCAGGTGGTTTCCATGGGCTCAGCCCCTGGTCCATGGCTACTTAAATACCCAATGTAAGGGAAGACCGCATGTGTACACACACACACACACACACACACACACCCCAGAACTGGAGTGCCTCCATGTTGCTGAGTGACAAAGGAAAAGACACAGTGACTTTTCCATCAGATGAAACTAATTGTGCCCAGCTCTGGAAACCGTGTGTGAGCCTTGAATCTGCCGAGAAGTGAGAATGGTGTAGAGTTAATAACATCTACTATTCACTGAGCCTCTGCATTGTGCTGAGCACTTCATTTGTGCTGATTTAATCCTCACAACCACCCCGAGGCAGGTACAAAGGTTCTCCCCACTTTATAGATGGGGAAATAGGCTCCGAGAGCTTAAGTAACGTGTCCCCGTCAGTTACTAACTGGCATTTACACTTAGCTCTCCGTGACCCGGGAACTCCGTCTGCTGTGACCTGGGACTTGACCGCTGGTGGCTGCGGCTAACGGGAGACCCTCAGAGAGAGGGCTTCCGGTTCCTGGACCTCCACCCAGGTTGTCCCCACCCGAGGGCCCGTCAGGGCTGACAAGGCTGCATGCCTGCCCCTTCACCATCCTCAGCCTTGATGCCCACAGCAGTCTTTCCACCAGTGTGGTGAGGGCTGGGCCCCAGAGGAGCCCCGCGTGGTGGGGACTGAGCCAGAGGGCCCCGGTGTCTCCTCGGATGCCCTGGGCAGGGAGGGCCAGATGCCAAGAGTCCACCTTTCGCCTTTGAAACCACCCAGCAAGCCGCTCAGCCTCCACCTTTGGAATCGAAGAGCTTCCTAATGACTCTTACAAAAACATTATTTTCAGCTCCTACCAGCTGAGAAAGTTCCCCTACACATCTCCCCCCCACACCTTCCACCCCCCACCTGGCCTGGTCAGCCAGGCTGGCTTTGCCTCCGTGTCTTCTCACCCCTCACTCACATACCTCCCAGGTGGACTTTGCTTTCGGGGTGTGGCAGAGCTTCCCGGAGCGAATGGTGGGCTTTCGGACATGGAGCCACTTCTGGGATGAGGCCCAGGGCGGCTGGGGCTATACTGCTGAGAGGGTCAACGACTCCTCCATGGTCCTCACCTCGGTGGCTTCTACCACAGGCACAGGAGGTGGCCCGGCACTGGGATCAGGGGCCCTTTAAGCCAGGAGCAGGGGGGCATGGAGTGAGCACAGCAGTCAGCCCAGAGCCCAGAGATCCAGGTTCAAGGCCCAGATCTGCCATGTCCCAGCTGCGAGACGGGCGGCTCCTCACACGTCTCTCTTTTTAAAAAATACATTTTTATTAATTTCAGAGAGGAAGGGAGAGGGAGATAGAAACATCAATGATGAGAGAGCATCACTGATCGCCTGCCTCCTTTTGGGGATCGAGTTCAAAACCCAGGCACATGCCCTCGACTGGCATCGAACCCAGGACCCTTCAGTCTGCAGGCCAGTGCTCTATCCGCTGAGCCAACCCGGCCAGGGTCTCCTCACTTCTCTTGAGGTTCAGCTTCCTCATCTCTATAATGTGCTGTGATAATCAAATGATCAAAAAAATGTTAATTCTTTTTTTTTTTTTTTAAGTGTGTGTGATGAGCTGGGGAGCTGCTCTAGCACCCCAGTCTTGGGCAGGGACTGAATCCCGAAGAACTTCTTTAGAGGAGTTCCTTACACATGTTTAAACCAAACACGGATCGTCTTGCAGGGGTTCTCAGTGAGTGAACACTCCTCATGTCTGCAGGGGCCGTGGGAGGGCTCATCTCAGTTAATCCACATCCTTCTAGAAGCTGGCTCTGGGCTGCCCTGTTTGATGGCCTTGGAATTAGCTGATCCTCCCTCCCCCACACTCCCACCCCCAGTTTGGCTGAGTTCATTCCTGGGAGGAGGGCCCAGGGAGCTGGGAGGGAGGGGGCAGGAGCTACATGCACCATTGGCTACAGACCAGCCGCCGAGCACAGAACAGGAGAGGGCGGCTGGTACTCGGGGCCGGAGCCCTCTGAAGTGGCTGGGCTCAGAGAGGGAGCGGGGTGCTAGCCAGAGGCTTCAGGGGCTTGGAGAGGGGGATCCAAGGGGGAGTGAGGTCAGGACTGGGAAAACAGAATTGGGGCGGTGGACTCAGCCTCAGCCTCTGCCTGCCTCGCCCCTCGCCCAGGTATTACCACACCCTGTTCACCCACTCCCTGCCCGCGGCCCTGAGGAGCCGGGCCGAGGCCGCCCCGGGCTGCGCGGACGTCCTGATGAACTTCCTGGTGGCAGCGGCCACCAAGCTGCCCCCCATCAAGGTGCCCTGCGGGAGGTGCCACCGCAGGTGAGGCGGAGGCCGGGCCCCCGCAGGTGAGGCGGAGGGGCTGGTGGGCCCCGGGAGGAGCCGGGAGGGAGGGTTCCCTCTGGGCGGTCAGCACCAATCCCTCCTGTGGCGGGTGCGGGGAGAGGCTGGTCCCGGAGGACAGAAACCTCGGACGCATTTCCCCTCCCCATCTTAGGCGCCCGGGGGCCTGGGGTCCCCGCCGCAGCCCGCAGCCCGGGACTGCATCGACCAGCTGGCGGCGGGGTTCGGCCACCTGCCGATGTCCTCTCGCCTCCGCCTGGACCCGGTGCTCTTCAAGGACCAGGTGTCCGTGCTGCGCAAGAAGTACCGGAGCCTGGAGAAGCCCCAGGGGGACCCCCGGGGCCCCTATCGGAGCCTGGAGAAGCCCCAGGAGGACCCCCGGGGCCCCTGCCGGAGCCTGGAGAAGCCCCAAGGGGACCCCCGGGGCCCCTACCGGAGCCTGGAGAAGCCCCAGGGGGACCCCGGGGACCCCTGCCGGAGCCTGGAGAAGCCTCAGGAGGACCCCCGGGGCCCCTGCCGGAGCCTGGAGAAGCCCTAAGGAGACCGGAGCCGGGAGAAGCCCTAGGAGGGCCCGCGGGGTCCCTGCCTCACTGCCCCGGAGCACGGAGTCCGCTCGGAGCCGGAGGCTTGACTCAGGTGTCCCCGCCCCCGAGACACCAGGGACCCAATCAGAGCGCCCAATGGTCAATACGTCAGGCCCCTATTGGCCTATCATAGAGCCGGGGGCGGGACTCCAGCCCGGCAGCCAGCTTCTGTTTCCAGGTGCGAGGCATCATCTATCCTGTTTCCGTGCCTTTGCCCCGCGGACTCCTCTGCTGAGCTGGCGTCTGGTGTTTCCAATCCTAGCCTCCCCCGGGGTTTGCCCGACCCCCAGCCCCTCTCGGGATCGGTTGGTCTCCTCTGCGCGTCCACAGCCCCGTGTGCCCGCAGTCCCGGCACTGTGGCCGCGTCCACCGCCAGCCCCTGGACGGTCTGGACACCCGGGGCGTGTCCTCCTCTCTCTGGCCTTGCAGGTAGCGCTGCGGATATTGGACGAAAAGACCATTGGAAGGGACATCCATTACGCGCCTGCCCTGGGAGGACGGTGCCGGGAGGGTGGACAGGATGTGCCGAGGGAGAAGACCAACCTCCGTCCCCATCCCTGTGGTTCCTAGTCCGGCGGAGAGGCAGCTCTCCGCAGGCGCCATCCTCGCGTCCCAGCGATGGAGCAAAGAGAAGCGCCGAGAAGCCAGTTTCTGGGCTTTTTTTTTTTTTTTTTTTTTTTTTTTTTTCCCGACCGGGAGGAGCGAATGGGGAGGGGAGGAAAGGGATGAGAACGCAGGCGATCCGCCCCGGCCGGACCCGGGACCCTCGGCGCGAGCTCGGTCGTCGCCCTGCATTACCAGGCACGACCGCTAGAGGGCAGCGCCGCCCCGCGCTCCCTCCTCCGGGACCGGGAATGCAGTTCTCAGCTCCCTCTGGTCGGAGAGCGAGCCTGGGCGCTAGGAGGCTTGGAGGTGCGCAGCCTGAAGTGTGCAAAACCAGGAGGAGGCGACTAGCTGAAAGAGGAGGCTACGCCTTAGCCCACACACTTAGGACTAAGCAGGGCCGCTGGAGTGGGCCAGGTGGGAGCAGAAACTGGAGTGCCTGTAGGTGAAAGTGCAGCGGGGGAGGGGACGCTGAGCTCTCCCGGGTTCATCCACCTGGAACAGGAATTATCGCTTCCGAAATACAGCGCCTGTCCGTGCCCCCTCAAGCTGAGGCTATAAATATTCCTACAGCAGCTGCACGAGGGAGGAGCCTGGAAGGGGGACGGCTCTAGACAGACGGGTGGGGGCCATGGGTCCAGCCCAGGTCCAGGGTGTCAGGTGTTTTTCTGCTTTGATGGCCTCGCCGCTGTGGAAACTCCCGTGACCAGCTCGCAGGCCAGAACACGCTGTCCCCCGGGGCCTCTCCAAGGCTTCCCATCCCCAGCCTCCAGCCTGACCTCTGCTCCCTGGGGCCAGTCACAGCTGGGGTGCCGAGAAGGCTCTCCTTTGGAGGATTCTTGAGGTGGAGGGGGCACTGGGAGGGAGGCAGCCTGGCCCAGGACCAAGAACAGCTGAGAGTGGGTGAGGGAGCACACAGCTGCAGCCCAGGCCGCCTTCCCAGGGTGGAGGGCTCCGAGTGCCAGGCCGGCCAGGGAAAGTGTCACCTTTCTCCTCCCCAGTCACAGCTGCAGCAACCAAAACCCTGTGCTGCTTGGCACAGCCTTGCCCGAGGGAGGGCATGCAAGGCCCAAGGACTCACACTGTAACAACACGAAGCTCCGAGCAGGCTCCCAGCCCCCGCGGTCGGGGGAGGCCCAGGGGAACGAGGCAGAAACCCCAGACCTGCCTCACCCTGGCTGTGTGACTTAAGGCAAGTGACTCAACCTCTCTGATGTTTTCTCCTCTGCAAACGAAGAATTCTGCCCAGACACCGTGGCTCAGTGGTTGAGTGTTGACCAATGAACCAGGAGGTCTCGATTCATTCCCAGTCAGGACACATGCCCAGGTTGTGGGTCTGATCCCCTGTGTGGGGTGTGCAATCATTGATGTTTCTATCTCTCCCTTTGAAATCAATAAAAAAAACTTTTTAAAAATAAAAAATGGAGCATCGCAATGACTGTCTTGAGAGGGGCCCAGGTTCCTGGCGCTGCCAGGGCTGAGAGGGAAGGAAGTCTCTATTCCCCAGAGAGCAGTGTGGAGTGGAGCACGGCCATCAGTAGACCTCCCACCCTACCCCACCCCACCCCCACCCCCAATTCCGTACCAACACAGTGACTCTCCGCTGACCTTGAGGGCAGAACCCACTGGCCTAGGTCACAGACAGCCCTGGGTGCCAGTGCTGGAAAGGCACAAAGATGTCATTTCACTGTTGAGAAGAGGCTCAGAGGGCTGGGGAGTGACACCCCCCCTCCCCACCCCATCCCCCTCACACACACCCTCCTGCCATGGTCAGGACAGAGTCAAACTGGGAAGTAGGTGTTCACGTTCTCAGAGAATCAGAGGCACAGCCAGGCTTACTTGCTGAAGGACAGGGCGCTTGCTGGTTATGGCAGGCAGACCACCAGACCGGGCATGCAGCCTTCTCTGTGAGCCTGGGGACAGGTCTCCCCTTCATCTTATACACACAAGCCAACCCCTAATCAGGAACCTTCACAACCTCCGGGAAGCCACTCTCCTGTCCTGTCCTAATGGTACGGCCGCTCTGTCCTCCATCCCCGAGTTCAGAGGGTCATGTCAGAGAGGAAGCAGCTGGCTCAAGGCCATTACCAGGCTGCGAAGCGGCTCAGGAGCTGTGAGGTTAGGGTAGGACCCAGGGTGACATTCCTGCTTCCCCCTCCTCCCCCCACTGTGGCCAGAGTGCCTTTGTGTGGCTGGGTGATAAGCAAAGAGGAACCCAGCCAGGCCCTTACCTGGTCAGAAGCCCCTCCTTTCGGAAAGGGAACCTCCGTGCCCCTGGCTCCCCCTCAGGGGGACACAGCAGAGGGCTGGGGCCTTAGGCAAATGTTGGCAGGGACACCACCCAGTGCAAATGTTAAGAGAAAGTTTACTTAGAAACTTACAGAAGGTCCCTTGGAGCTTAGGAGAGAGGCGGGGGTAATGCACGGGGGGGGGGGGGGGGGGGGGATGGGAGAGGCGAGGGGAAGGGAGAAAGGGCTCCTAAGTCCTTCATCCTGAGGGTTTTAAAGGCTGGGAGTTGAGGGGAAGCTCTCAATAGGCTACTGGTCAGCTTTATGCTGATGCACCAACATGAGACTTATTCCCCTAACGTCACCCGTCCTTGGGTGCTCACCCGTCCTTGGGTGCTCACCCGTCCTTGGGTGCTCACCCGTCCTTGGGTGCGGTTGGTATAAATGGCACCCATTGGTTTTGTGATCCGTCTTCCCGAGTTTAGCTGTTTATCCTCCGGTTGGGGAGAAGTGCAAACCACTTACTCTTAAGAGTCCTCGGCTAGGGGAGGTGGGATTTTGTGATTTCCTCCATGGCTGGCTGGAACCAGCTTGGCCATTTACTTGTCTGTCTCCGTTTCCCTATTCCACCGTCCTGGCTTAACTCCCTAACCCCCATGGCCTCCTTAAACCAGATGTGTTAGAGGCAGAGGGAGGGGGCTCAGTCCCAAGATTTCTTTACAGGTTTCCAAGGCCAAGACGATGGGAAACGAGGCAGGTAGGCAGGGGGTGCTGCAGCCAGGCCCCCTCCAGCATCCCCCACCGCCTTCCCCTGAGGCTAGTGGTGAGACAGCATGGCGGAGGGGTCGGCACAAAGCCAGCCCCACCAGGAACGGACCGGGAGCAGGGGGAGTGGGATTGCACCTGCCGAGTCCCCTCCTGTGGCTGCCAGAGTCAGAGGGGAGGCGGGGGAGGAGTCCCCTCCGCGGAGCGGGCAAGGCTCCTTCTCGCTGAACACAGAGCTCACGTCACAAGAGGGATCTGGTTTATGCCACAGCCAAGGTCAGCAGAGTCCTGGCTGGGCCTGGGGGGCACGGGGCCCCACCCTCTGCAGGTCCTGTCCGGGCACCGGGCCGGGCAGTCAGTCCGAGGGGCCCTGGCACGCCTGGCAGTCCCTCATGGCCTCAGAGTAGTCCTCGATCTGGATGGTCATGGTGTGGAAGTTGAACTTGCCCTGTAGGCGGGCGCTGGCGGCCTTCAGCACGGCCTGGGCATCTGTGTTCTGAGCTGGGAGACAGGAGGACGCACCGGAAAAACGTTCACTCACTCGTGGCCCCTTAGAAACAACCAGGAGCCCGACTCCCGCGCGCTGCCCACAGCAGAGCCGGATGCATGAGCTTGAGCACTCAGAAAGCCCAGAGTCCACCCCTGCACCGGATTCCCGCCCCACCCCCAGGTCCCACACCTGCCACAGCCCGAAAGAACACGAAGGCACTGGCTTTCGGCTTTCCTCTACCACCCCCACTCCCTCTCCCTCCCCCCCAGCCTCAGTTTCTTCATCCGTAAATGGGACTGTGATGGTCAGATGGAATAATGCGTACAAAGCACTCGCCTGGGGCCAGGTTCAAGCATGGGCGCTGGAAGCATGTGGGATTGCCTGGACCCGACAGGGGTGCCCAGGCGTCTCTGGCTGCCTCCCGCCCTCCCTCCCCTCACCCCACGTGTCCCCACCACTCACCAATGGCGACGTGGACAGACAGCACGGGCTGGGTCACGGTCAGGGCCCAGATGTGCAGGCTGTGCAAGGCTTCTACCCCCTCCACCGACAGCAGCAGGTCCCGGACAGCCGTGAAGTCCACGCCCTTGGGGGTCCCTGCGGACAGCGGGGGTGGGGGTGGGGGCTGAGGGAACCCGCTCCCTCCCACCCATGCTGGCTCCTGCTCCTCCGGGGTCATCTCAGAAGAGCGCCTTGGCCAGCAGATCCGCTGTCACCCCCACCTCCCACGTGACCTCCATCGTATCACGTGATGTGTTTTCCTCTTAACACTTAGCACTGAAATTAACTTGTGTGTCGGTTTCTCGTCTGCCTCCCCCTCTAAGATGGAAACTCCATGAAAGCAGCATAGTCTGTTTTATTTACCAGCTCCCCTCCCCGGTGTCCGGAACATGCCTCGCCCACAGTAGGTGCTCAATAAAAAGAGGTTTCCTGTGTGGGGCATCATCACTGTCACTTTGATCTGAGTCCGTCACTTTCTGGGAGGAAAAGCTCTGACCTGCAGCTGGACCTTCCTGCGGACCACAACCCAGGATCCAGATGACCCTCCCACACAGAGACCCATGACCCCAAGACCTGGAGCCCAAGAAAGCCGGATGAATAGTGTGGCAAGCCGAAACTGGTTTGGCTCAGTGGATAGAGCATCAGCCTGCGGACTGGTGGGTCCCAGGTTCAATTCCGGTCAAGGGCATGTACCGTGGTTGCGGGCACATCCCTGGTAGAGGATATGCAGGAGGCAGCTGGTCAATGTTTCTCTCTAATCCATGTTTCTACCTGTTTCCCCGAAAATAAGACAGTGTCTTATATTAATTTTTTCACCCAAAGTTGCACTAGGTCTTATTTTCAGGGGATGTCTTATCTTTCCATGCACTAGGTCTTATTTTCGAAGGATATCTTATTTTCGGGGAAACACGGTAGCTCTCTATCCTTCTCCCTTCCTCTCTGTAAAAAATCAATTAAAATATATATTTCTAAAAATAGCGTGGCAACTCAGGGCAGACCGTTTGCCTCTCCCTTGCCTCCCTCCACGTCCAGCCACATCCTGCTGATGCGGGGCCTCGGAAAAGAAGGCCTGAACGGCTTCCCGTTCTCAGCAGCCTTGTTCAACACTGACCGTCCTTTTCGGAGCCTCAGTCTCCCTCCCCCCCCCCCCCCCTGTGCAATGGGAAGCATGACCCTCCACCCTCTCTCTGCAGACAGAGACTGAGGAAGTGCATGCCAGGGGCTGACCCAGAAACCACCTGATTGGGCAAGAAGGGCGCGTCTCAGCGGGGAGGAGGCACCTGTGCCCAGGGGGAAGGGAAGGCACAGCCCACGGGACATTTCCAGGAACGGCCACCCTGAGGGCCGAGTTCCACGCCAAGACTGGCAGGAGCCCTAGGCGATGCCGGGCTCCAGACCCTGGCTCCCCGCCACCGTGCTGGGATCCACCCCCACCTTGGAACTTCCACGAGAGCCAGAGAGCCAGGAGCAGAAAGGGAGCCCCGAGCCCGGTTACCTTCCATTAGCACCAGGACCACGTCCCTCAGGATGGTCAGGGTGGTCCCCAGCACCAGGACGGAGAAGATGAAGGTGCAGATGGGGTCTACGTACTTGTACTCTGGCTGCGGGAAAGAGGGAAGGCAGAGCTAGGGCCCAGCATCCACCCCTCAGCCTCACAGTGCGTAGGGGAGAGGGGCTCTCTCTGCAGGTGGGCGTGAGCCTTACCCTGGCCCTGCCTCCCAGCTTATTCTGCACGAGAAGGACAGGCATGCCAGACCACAGGTCAGAGAAGGCACAGTCCCTTCCCACCTCCTTGCTCAGGGGCTGAAACGTGGACAGCTCTAAGTGGAATCTTAGGCACCATCTAGTCCACCATCCCTAGTTTACAGCTAGGGAAACTGAGGCTCAGTTAGAGCAAGGCACTCACTCTTTATCACACAGCTGGCCAGGGGTGGAGCCAGGCTTCAAACTCAATGCCCGGCTCTTTCCAATGCACCGCACTACCTCTGTGTATGTGACGGGCAAAGCCGGCTTTGGATCTGGCTCCACAATTTACCAGCTACGTGAGTCACTGAACCTTTCTGAGCTGCAGAAAGCACCAGAAGGTAGACAGACGTTCCTTCCCTCTCCCCACCCTTTTGGCAGGAGCTAGGAAGGGGGCTAGAATCCGGAAAGGGTCCTGTGCAGAGAGGAGCCCCAAGATAACCTACCTCCTGCCCCTCCCACCCCACTCCCCAGCCCACTTCCCTCCGTCCCCAGCTCTGACCTTGAAGTATAAAATAAAGGCTGCCACCAGGACGCCCACGCTCTGCAGCAAGTCTCCGATCACATGGATGAAGGCAGCTCGGACACTGGGGTTCTCCTGCTGCTGAATGATGTCTTGGCTGTGCCCTTGGCCTTGGCCGTGGCTGTGTCCGTGGCCTTGGCCGTGGCTGTGTCCGTGGCCAGACTGGTGAAGGGTCAATCCCATTCTATGGAAGTGGAGACAAAGCCAAAGGGCTGAGATGGAGGGCAGCGGCTTCAGATCAGCCAGGTAAAGGTTCCCCATTAGGGCTGGTCTCCCTGTGGGGCTAAAACCCCAAACCCCCAGACTGCATGAGCCCTTTGGTTATATGAGGAGCCTGACCCAGACCCAGGCTGGATCTGGGCTCAAAGATGCCCCAGTGCCACGTCTCAGAGCAGAAGACCACGGAGTCATCGGTTCCCCCCACCAGGCCACAGACAGGGAAGCTGAGTCGTAGAGGAGTGGCTTGCTCGAGACCACTGAACCAGGGAGAGAGAACCCAAATAAGACAGACGCTCTCCACGCCCTGCCTCTCACTGAGACCAACTTCAACCACATCCGCTTGATAAAGAACTTGGAATCTTCTCCGAGGGACGTCTGCTCCTGCAAGAACTAGACTAATCCCTCCCACTTCAGGTCTGAAGCCTCCCAGGTTATTCACCAACATGTGTGGGGTGGGGTGGGGTGGGAGTGGGTGGAGGTGATGCTGCCCCAGGTTTACAGTTCCTGATGGACTTGGCCCAGGCCTAAGGCAGAACCCAGGTGTTCCAGAGCTCAGACCGTTAGGAAAATTCTGTTCCTGTAGCCCGAGAAGGTCAAACTTGTGGCCCACAACGAATATTTTTGTGGCCTAGCCAATATAACGGTAAGTAAGAAACATTTTAATAAAAATCCTGTGACTTGTTATTCTAATACCTTGTTACTTTAATACTATCTAATGAAGAGGGAATATGCTAATTGGCCCTCACATCACCGAAGATGGTGGGACCCACAGCCAATGAGGAGGGAATATGCTAATTGACCCTCACACTGCCAAAGATGGTGGGACCCACAGCCAATGAGGAGGGAATATGCTAATTGATTGTCACATCCTCAAACATGGCGGCACCCACAGCCACAAGATGGAGCGCCTAGTCTCTTTGGCCCCGCCGGGGCACCTGCCTCCGGAGTCCCCCAGTCCCATCAGCCCCCCGCTGCCTAGGGGCAGCTCAGGATGCAGGCAAGCCTTAGATGGCAGCTGCCCACCCACCCAGGACCCCCTGAAGGTCAGGTAACCAGGGATGGCTGAGGCTTGTGCTGCCTTTCCAGGGCCTTCACCAGCTCGCTGCCAGCGAAGTTCATGGTCTTGTCAGTGGCAGCAGCAGAGGTGTGATGGGGCATTGTCTTTCCCTGATCACCGGATTGCCTCCCACCCCTGAGGGCTCCTGGACTGAGAGGGGGCAGGCCAGGCTGAGGGACTCCCCCTCCACTGCATGAATTTTCATGCACCAGGCCTCTAGTTATTAATAATGAACAAACTACAACATTCTCTAATGACTGATTACTATAATCATGTTGCATTCATTTCCTTTATGTGCCTTATGCACAGGCGCACCATGTCTCTCACCAATACTAGCAGTGAATATTTTAGCAGCCGATTGCCACGTCATTAGTCTTGTACTGACTTGTTTGGTGTGCGCAACAGGAAGTATTTCGCTTTCGGAAAATAAGAAAAATAGGTTTACTTGCATTACGCTTATTAACTTGTGTAGTTACTCAGTGTCTGATAAGTTAATGTCCAAGAAAAAAATATAAATTTTTATTAAAATGTCCTATTATTTTATGCTAATGATTACACATTCATTTCACTTTTCGTATTCAGCATGTCTCTATCAAAATGAACCTACATTTCTATGAAAACTAAAGCTTTTGGTTGTTTTTTTTTGCGGCTCACATAAACTTAAACCTTGTTTATTTGGCCCGTGTTAGCCTTTGAGTTTGAGCTCCTGTACTGGAGTCCAGGCTGCCCTGCTTCCACCAGAAGGCACATAGGCACGCACGTGGGACATGGGAGGAGGGAGGACTCACATGATGTTCACGGCCACGGCGCAGCCGGCCGTGATCAGCATCGTCTTCCCGTGGATCTCATAGTTGCCGGAGATTAACCGCTCTGTCGCCAGGTACACCAGCACCCCCGTCACCACCCAGATGGACAGCACAGAGAGCAGGGCTCCCAGGATCTCTGAGGAAAAACCAACCCAACACCAGTTAGTCCGGAGCCCTGAGGCAGGGCCTGGGTCTGCTTGGGCTCTGCTGCACCTCATCCCACCACTCAAACCTCTGACAGTATCAGAGCGAGGAGTCTAATTCCTTTGGCTCAAGACTTTTTGTTTTACATGTAATGAAAATTACTTTTGATAATTACTTTTTAAAAATGAAAAAGACTTTATACCTGTTTAAAGCCGGTGTCTTCCAGAAAGCTTTGCTGGCTTTTCCTGCACCCCGCGCCCCCCCCCCCCCCACTTCCCCACCCCACACCCCCGGATTTGTTCTTGGAAGTTTGCCCGCTTCATTTCATTGGAAGGTGAACTCTCCTCTCCGCACCCTCTCCCACCCCACCACCTCCACCTCCCGAGACTGGGAGTTCCCAGGGGACAGAAGTGAAGTTGGACATTATCGTCCGCCCTCCATGAAAGTTGCTCTCCTGGCCTCACTCAGGGGATCTACCTAAGAAACCATATCTTGACCTGTCACTCTTCCAACCCCAACCCCATTCAAACCAGGGCCCTCACCAGCTCGCTGCCAGCCGAAGTTCATGGTCTTGGTGGCCGGCCGGGTGGACATCCAGAGAGAGAAAAGGCTGGTGAGCATGCTGGCAATGTCAGTGAGGAGATGGGCTGCATCAGTCATGATGGCCAAGCTATGTGCTAGGTACCCACCTGCAGGGTTAGTGATAAGAATGGAGGATCCTCATCAGCTGCCCAAGGAGACACGGGGTGACCTCTTCACCCATCACTGTATAATCACTGCAAGTACTTTCTCTGAGTCTTAATTTCTACCATCCGTGAAATGGGACTAACAACATCTACTTACAGGGTGAATGTGAAAATCAAGTTCAAATAGGGCCCGAAAAGCATAGTAGACATTCAGGAAGTGCTCCTTCCTTCCAGGCATTCAGACCTTCCCTGCCCTGCTAGTTTTGTGTAATCTTGGGCAAATTACATAACCTAAATGTACCTGTTTCAAAGTCTATGAAATCAGGAGACTAACAGCACCCATGTGACAGCAAATGGTTGTTTTGAGGGTTGCATGAGATAACGTGTATTTAAAAGACTTAACCAAGTATAGAAAATAATATGGTAATAACTATGCATGGTGTCAGACAGCTTCTAGACTTATGGGACTGATCACTCTGTAAGATATATAAATGTCTAATGACTAGGTTGTACACCTGAAACTAATATAATATTGTATGTCTATAGTAATTGAAAAAGTAAAGTTCTTAAGTAAAAAAATTAAAAAGAACATAGTCTTCAGTATTCAACTATGATCCTTGAACAACACAGGTTTGAACTGAAAGGGTTTTATTCCTATGTGAAATTTTTTTCAGTACAATTAGCCCTTCATATCCATGGATTTCCCACCTGTTAATTCAACCATCCCGTGGAAAACAGTACTTTCACATCCCCACACACGGTTTCCCAAACACGGTTTCCCATCTGCAGTTGGTTGAGTCCATTGATGAGAAGGAGCTAAGTTTGCTAAGTTTTCAGGGAGTCAGAAGTTACTGGATTTTCAACTGTGCGGGTAGTCACCCCAAAACCGACCCCCACTTCACTGTTCAAGTGTCAACTGCATTAATATTGCCAGCACATTCAGGAGAAAAGCCTTTGGATCATCCAGACTACCCATGTGACAGTTTCATGTAATCAGCACACAAGTCCTTACCGACGATCTCCCCAACCATGAACACCAGGCAGATGGCAGAGGCCACATAGAGCTGTCGTCGGGCCTGCTCTTTCCTGGGGTCACTGCCAGGACCCTTCTGGGAGTGGCAGTAGTGACTGTTCTCCACGGGCAGCTCAATGGATGGCAAGTCCAGCTCGGGTCGTGACACGGAAATCCAGCCAGCCTCGTTCTGCCACAGAGACCCCATGTAAGACCTAGCCAGAGAGGAAAGAGTAGACTCAGCGCTGAGATGGGGACCAGGAGAGCTGCCCCCACTCCTCTCTCTTCGTGGGACCTGGCGTTCCCAGGTGCACAGTTAGGGGACTAGCTAAGGACACGCCAAGCTCCACAGTCTCAAGGAGTGACCAGAGGCCCATGTCCGCAGGTGGGTGCTGGGGAATAGCCAGTCTGCAGGAGTCGAAGGGCCATGGCCCGGATGTTCACTTCTCCCCCATCCCTCCCAGGGCCTAGAGGAGGCCAAGACCTTGGGAACTGGCCAAGGGGCGGACCCAGTCCAGTGGAGCACGGAGAAGGAACAGGGCTCAGGCCCTGGCAGACGGGCAAACCCCCATCTGTGCACCTGGGGACACGGGTCCTCCAGGGCCAGGCTGCCCCGGGGCAAAGTTCCCGGCCGGCCGTGGGCGGGGTCTAGGCCTGGCGCTCCGCATCAGGGGGCAGTGGTTAGACTCCGCGCCGGGCCGCCAAGGTGGGCTGATCCCAGCGCCCCGCTGGGCTCCCTCTTCTTCCCCTCGCTCCACCCTCCGGCGAGCGCCCGGTCCCAGCGCCGCTCAGACCGTCCCGGGCCGGCGAACGAGGAGGATCGTCCGCAGCGGCCCCGATCCCCACCCTCCCCGGCTCCCGCTTACCGCGCCCCGGACCTGGCGTCCAGCAAGCGCTGCTTGTCCACGGTCTTCATGGCCCCGCGCCGGGTGGGGAGCCGCACGCCGACTCCTCGGAGTGAGACCTGGAATGCGCGGGGCGCGCTCACCTGCGGGGAGAGCTCACCTGCGGGGAGAGCTCACCTGCGGGGAGAGCTCACCTGCGGGGAGAGCTCACTGCGGGGAGACCTCACTGCGGGGAGAGCTCACTGCGGGGAGACCCCACTGCGGGGAGACCTCACTGCGGGGAGAGCTCACTGCGGGGAGACCTCACCTGCGGGGAGAGCTCACCTGCGGGGAGAGCTCACTGCGGGGAGACCCCACTGCGGGGAGACCTCACTGCGGGGAGAGCTCACTGCGGGGAGACCCCACTGCGGGGAGACCTCACTGCGGGGAGACCCCACTGCGGGGAGATCTCACTGCGGGGAGACCTCAATGCGGGGAGAGCTCACTGCGGGGAGACCCCACCTGCGGGGAGACCTCACCTGCGGGGAGACCTCACCTGCGGGAGACCTCACCTGCGGGGAGACCTCACCTGCGGGAGACCTCACCTGCGGGAGACCTCACTGCGGGGAGACCTCACCTGCGGGAGACCTCACTGCGGGGAGACCTCACTGCGGGGAGACCTCACTGCGGGGCGTGCTCACCTGCGGGGCGTGCTCACCTGCGGGGAGAGGCCAGACGGACGCACGCGCCGCCCCCCGTGCGTCCCTCTCGCGCCGGGACCGTCCCGCAGCAGCTCCGCTCCGCCCGGCCCCGCGCGCCCAGCCTTTATCCGGCCTCGCCGCCCCGTGTGAAGCGGCCGCCGGCCGCCGTGTGCAAAAGCGGCCGGGAAGGGGGATGGGGCGGCCGGGTGCAAAGGATGCCCAGGAGCTGCCGCCCCCTCCCCACCCGGCCCCCATCCCCGCGTCCCGGGGCCCGGAGAGCCCACGCTGCTCTCGGTAAAAGGCTGAGCTGGGACTGCGCGCCGTCTGGTCCGCTTTTCCCCGCGGGGCGCGGGGGCCAGAAGTTCCCGGTTTGTAGGAATGAGTTTTTGGGTCCAGGGAGAGGGAAGGTGGCCCCCGGGGCTGGGGTGGTGTCCTCGCCTCCGGCGGGAGCCGCCTGCGCCTTTGAAATGGGCGTGTTTCTACCCTCAGGCGGCAGTCGTCCGCGGCCGCTGCTCCCGGCTAGGCTGGGGAGGGTTCCGGAGGCCGGGTCTGCTCCCTCCGGCTGGGCCCTGGCCCTCTCTGGGGCTGATTGAGGCTGCCCCACCCATCCCAGCCCGGGAGCAGCTCCGCTTGCTCGCCTGCGCGCTCCGACAACAGTCTGGAGTGACCGGCTTCACCTCCATTCCCTTCACCGGGCAGCGTCGCTCTTGGGCGTCAGTCTGACAACTCTTTCCCCCTCTCCCCCTCACCCGCAGCTCACAGGAGCTCCAGCAAAATGAGCTTTCTGTCCTCAAATTCCTTCAGTCTTCTATCGAAGGATACTGTCCTTTTTTTTTTTTTTTTTTTTTTTTAATCCTCGCCCCAGGATATTTTCCCATTGATTTCTTGGAGAGAATGGAAGAAAGTGGAAAAGACAGAAAAATATTGACTGCCTCCTGCACACGCCCTGACCAGGGTCTGCCCCGGAGGATCCTGCAACCGAGGTAAGTGCCCTTGACTGGAGTTGTACCCGGGACCCTTCAGTCCGCAGGCTGATGCTCTTCTATCCATTGAGCCAACCCGGCTAGGGCTACTTTTTTATTTTTAAATATTTTTTTTTATTGAATTTTAGAGAGAGATGAAAGGTGGGGGAGAGAGAAATATGTGAGTCAAGAGGCTGCCACCAGCACACCCCTACCAGGGAATTGAGCCCCCAAATCTGAGCATGTGCCCTGAGGGAGAATGGAACCAGCAACCTTTTGGTGCACAGGTTGACTCCCAACCAACTGAGCCACACTGGACAGAACTACCGTGTTTCTCCGAAAATAAGACATCCTCCGAAAATAAGACCTACTTACTGGTTTCCTTCTGAGTGAAATATAAGGCATCCCCCCGAAAATAAGACGCCCCTAGGCTAAACATGAGAGGTTTGGTCTACTGATTCTGAAAGAAATGGAGTCACAAGAAATTCACCAGGAAATTCAGGAATTGGATTGTTATGATGATGTTCCAGAAGATGATGACATGACTGTCATTGAATAAATGAGTAAATTCTTGATACTGTAGGATTCACAGTTTGTCTGGTTTGTGTTGACAACTACCGTACTACCGTACCATATACAGGTAATAAATTTCCTTTATTTTCATTTAACAATAAATGTGTACCGTATTCTTCTTCGTGGAAAAATAAGACATCCCCTGAAAATAAGACCTAGCGCATCTTTGGGAGAAAAAAAATTAATATAAGACACTGTCTTATTTTCAGGGAAACAGGGTATGTGAGGATACTTTAGAGAATAAACCTATAGTCCTAGCTGGTTTGGTTCAGTGAATAGAGCAGACTGAAGGGTCCTGGGCTCAATTCCCATCAAGGACACATGCCTGGGTTGCAGGCTCAATCCCCTCTCCATGCAGGAGGCAGGCAATCAATGATTCTCTCATCATTGATGTTTTTCTATCCCTCTTGTTTCCTCTCTAAAATCAATAAAAATATATTTTAAAAAGTGAATAAAAAATTAATGGAAAAATATCCTTGGGTGAGGATTAACAAGAAAAAAATGCTTCAGAACTTGAGAAAGAACTAGAAATGAGAATAAAAATATGATTCACTGAAATTCAAAGTTAGGGACTAAGTTAGCCTTGGAAAAACCACAGAGAAAGTGGGCCAGGGTATGAGGGTTTTGTGGAGGAAAGGGGCCACATGCTGACCTGATAAGCTCAGGGAGGTCTGCATGGCAGTCTTGCAAACTCAGAGACCAAAGGATGGTCTGAAATTAAACTTGACCTAAAGGCAATTTTGGTGACAGTTACATCCTAGGCCAGTATCTTCACTGACAAGGTCAACCTTTACCTTTTGCATCTATGATAACAGACCCTTGAAATGTCTGGGTAACTTGTAACTTCCCTTTTTCTGGAGCCCCTGGGGCACAACCAAATGTGGTAGGCGCCGGGACAGATACCACAAATTTCTTCATTATCATGTTAATTGATCCCACCTAAGTATGTGTCCATCATTTTACTTTTTACCCAATCCCAGGAGTTTCTCCTGCTTTGTTTTATCCCACCTCCTTAATCTATCACCAATGAATTTCAGGTAACCCACCTACGTCCCTCCGTTGATTGCAACGTATAAATGCAAATGTAACACCCCATTCTCTGGAGCATTATCTCAATTCGTTGAAGTTCTGCTTCCCTGCATATGTCCACAGTTTGGCTAAAATAAACTCACAAAAATTCTTTACAGGTTTCAATGTTGTTGTTTTTTACATTAACGGTTTCAAGCACTTTCATAAAATGAGTTCTATAGAACATTAGTTCTGGAGGATGTCACATAAATGGATAAATTGGGAAGTGGATAACTTTTTGTAAAAAATTATTCAAAACAGCTGTATCTGGTTAAATATTCAATCCAGCCCTAGCCAGTTTAGTGGATAGAGCAATCAGCCTGTGGTCCGAGGGGTCCCGGGTTCAGTTCCGGCCAAGTGCACATGCCTGGTTTCCGGGCTTGATCCCCAGGGGGGGTGTGTGGAAGACAGCTGATCAATGATTCTATCTCATCATTGATGTTTCTATCTCCCTCTCCTCCCTTCCTCTCTGAAATCAATAAAGAAATAAATAAAATTTAAAATAAATAAATATTCAATTGTGAGCCTGCCTGAGCTGGTTTGGCTTAGTGGATAGTGTCAGCCTATGGACTGAGAGCCCTGGGTTTGATTCTGGTAAAGGGCACAGGCCTGGGGTTGAGGGCTCGATCCCCAGTGTGGGGTGTGCAGGAGGCACCCAATCAATGACTCTCATTATTGATGTTTTTATCTTTCCCTCTCCCTTCCTCTCTGAAATAAATTTTTTAAAAAATTTAAAACTATGAAGAGCCTTAAAGATCAGACAATATTCCAAACACCATAAACTTGATGGACCAGTCATTGTCTAACGTCAAATCACTTTGTTTATGGCAGGACTACTCAGAGCCCTTAACTTTCTACTGTGTTCTGAATGTCAGAACGGTGGGACAGACTCTGCAGTGTTCCTCACATTTATAAGCCCAAGGTATCTCAGACCCAATTAATGCACCGTCTTTGATTCAATCAGTTTCATCTCTCTCCCAGCCCCTTGGTTCCTTGTTCATGGAAAGCCTTGGTGCTACTTCGGCCTTGGCCTTGGCCATCGCCTCGTCCGCTAGAACTGGTGGCCATCTTGACCTTCCCTGGAGTAAACTTGGGAACCAGCAGAGCATCCATTGTGCGACCCCAGCACCCATGCCCAGCCCACTGGACCACGGAGGTTCCATTCCTCCCATTGCCCACAGAGTCAACAGATGGTGTGCCATCTAGTTTAGCTACCCCAGCAACTGCCCAAAGGGGCCAAGAGATACAACCTGGAAGTGTAAGAGAATTAACACTGAGAGACAAAGTTCAATTCTGAGACAAGAAATGAAAGATAAAAAAATCTCCCTTCTTCCCTCTGAGGGACTCTGAGTTGGCTGTGTTCTTTATTACCGGCTAGAAACATCTCATGTGACTGAGCAAAGAACCAGGTCTCTCCGACACTTTGCTTCTCTCCTATCCTGCCTTGCTTCCACTTTCCCTCATCGGACTGCCCTGGGATTGTATCTAGACTAAAACATTTAAGTTTGGCCCCAGGTTCTGTTTTCCAAAGAGCAGAGAACAGAGCCTTCCCCTGGGTCTTGGGGATCATCTCAGGGCCAGTTCTCCATGGAGCTCTCGTTGGGAAATGCTCTTCGGTGCGGGGACAGAAGCCTATAGACTTGCCGTTACTGGCTCCCGCCTGCCACACACTTCCATGCAGGCCTCTGTCCATCTGAAGTCTCCAGAAAAAAAGGCTATGAAACCCCAACTCCTTGGGCGATAACAGGAAGAGAGCACTGTGCATTTATTGAAACAACATGTAACAAACTCAGTTACCATCCCCTCGTCAGGGGTAGACACTGAAATACAGTACGTTACCCTCATCTAACAATCGCCAGTCACACAATGACCGGGCATTATCATACAAAAGTTCCTTTACAAAAAGCACCAAATTGGCATACATGTACAAGTATATACAAAAATCACATTTTAAAAATGTACAAAATATTCCATTTTGCACCAATGTAGAAAAGTGTCCTGTGTGGTTGTTTCAAGCACATTTCCAACTCTGCTTCGGTGGCTGCTGGACACAGCGGTGGAGGTCCTACTCCTAGTCCCTGCTCTCAGGAGCAGAGAGAAGACACATCTCCCCCTTGTCCCTCCAGGGGCCCCGACCCCTCCCACCCTGGGCCTGTCACCAAGGCAGCCGGGCCCATCCCACCCTTCCCAGTCTCTCTGCATCAAGAGGTCTCTTCCTCATCCAACGCCTTACTGGTGTCCTGAAAAGAGAAAGAAACGTCAAGTGAGACGGGGACTCAGGGATATGCTGTAGTGACAAAATGATCAAACTCCAATTCCTGCCTGGCCTCTTCCCCCCCCCCCCCCTTTTTTTTTTATTGATTTCAGAGGGGAAGGGAGAAGGACATATAGAAACATCAATGATGAGAGAGAATCATGAATCGATTGGCTGCCCCCTACATATCCCCTACTGGGGATCAAGCCCAACATTGTTAGCTCTTCCCAAAATTTTTAAGGAGAAAATCCAGATTCTCAGCTGAAATGTCTTTTTAAAATTTATTTTTTTAAAAAAACCCAACAAACTTTATTGTTGAAAGCATTATATTTTCCTCCTTTTTTCCTCTATTGATCTAGCCCACCCTGACCCCCAGCCCAGGCCTTCACCACCTTATTGTCTGTGTCCATGGGTTATACATGTATGCATACAAATCCATTGGTTGACCTCATCCCACCCACTACCCCTCCCCTGCCTTGAAGTCTCCTTTTAAAAAATCCTTTAAGCCCTGGCGGGTGTGGCTCAGTTAGTTGAAGAGTCCTCCCATATACCAAAAGGTGGTGGGTTCAATTCCCAGTCAGGGAACATACCAAGATTGTTCAATCCCAGGTTAGGGTGCATGTGGAAGGCAACCAACCGATGTTTCTCTCTATATATCTCTCCTCCTCCCTTCCACTCTCTCTAAAAAATCAATGGAAAAAATATCCTCAGATGAGGATTCATGAAAATAAATAAATAAATAATAAATAATAAAATAATCCTTTAAAATAATCTCCTAATTTTTTAAATGTGGATAACTGGTTTTAAAAAATTTAAACATTGTGCTGGCCAAACAAAATACCTCAGTGGACCAAGCTTGGCTCATGAGTGTTCTGTCATTTATGTCTGTTATGCTGCACTGCTTTGCATATAGATATAGGTCATTTATTTTATTTACTTATTTTATAATATATATATATTTTAAATATATTTTATTGACTTTTCACAGAGAGGAAGAAAGAGGGACAGAGAGCTAGAAATGTCAATGAGAGAGAAATATCGATCAGCCGCCCCTTGCACGCCCCCTACCGGGGACGTGCCCACAACCAAGGCACATGCCCATGACTGGAATCGAACCTGGGACCCTTCAGTCCACAAGCCGACGCTCTATCCACTGAGCCAAACCAGTTTTGGCTTATATTATATTTTTATTGATTTCAGAGAGGAAGGGAGAGGAAGAGGGAGAAACATCAATGATAAGAGAGAATCATTGATTGGCTATCTCCTGCATGCCCCACAATGGGGATCGAGCCTGAAACCTGGGCATGTGCCCTGACCAAGAATCTAACTGTGACCTACTGGGTTCAGAGGTTGACACTCAACTACTGAGCCACACTGGCCAGGCTAGATATAGCTCATTCAGCTATAAAACTGGGAGCTTTTTATTATGAATAGTTTGGAGTTTTTTCTCTAAGGGTATAGGGAGCAGGACTTTATCCTTAAAAGGTTTACACATATTGGGAACATCATCATATATTGGCATCATCTCCCATGTCCAGCACAGCACTTTGCACACAGTCAATATCTCTTGTTGAATGAACGAATGAATGAAGATGGATTTCTTACCTTCTTCCTTGCCCTCTGTGGACTCTTCCTCTTCCTGATCTTCTTCAATGAATTCTTCCTCTTCCTCATCTGAGTGTGACAAAGAACAACAGTATGAGGATAGGCTGGTTTCTCAGAGGAGCTGCTCAGAGGAGGACTAGCTGGAGACAACACTGATCCCAAGGAAGGGAGAGGGAGAGAGAGATAGAAACATCAATGATGAGAGAGAATCATTGATTGGCTGCCTCCTGCATGCCCCCGCACTGGGGGTCAATCCTGCAACCTGGGCATGTGCCCTTGATCAGAATTGAATCCAGGACTCTTCAGTCTACAGGCGGATACTCTATCCACTGAGCCAAACCAGCTAGGGCCATCCCAACCCTTTCTGATGCCCACTCAGGGTCAACTGGCCACGCCAAGACATCAGTAGCCCAGGAGGTAATGGGTTTGCCAAACCCAAGCTGCACAGAGGTGGGCTTCCTCCTGTCTCTTCCCGCCCCTTCCCTCCTGCACCTCCACGGAAGGAGGCTCAAGAGGCTCCTTTGTTCCAACAGCTGCAGCAGCTGCTGTCACCTGATCTGTCTGTGATCAAAGGGGACTTCGGTGGGCACCCTGGACTTCTGCCCACCTCTCAGTGAGACAGGTAAACATTACCCATGGAGATGGGGCAAGAGCACCTTAATTCTCAGCAAGCAGAGTCCTTTGTTTTGAAGGAATTTGTCAGCCTTTGGAATCTGCTAGCCTAGCACTCCTGTCCACCTTTCCTCATTCCTCAGCCTACCGGGAGTGGCTGGGGGTGGGGAACACTTCTGGGGCCTTGTGCTCCTTGGCTCTCTGGAGCTGAGCCCCAGACAGACTGACAGAGCTGCAACCTGTGTCCTCACTTTCCCCTCCTGGGATATCACTTTCAAGCTCTGCCAACCAGGAACATGCCTCCTCCCCACCCCCTCTCCAAAGCCAGTCCTTAATCCTTTGGGGCTGTGAGGGGGTCACCACAGAGTCAGAATATTTGTCCAGAGTGTCTGGGAAGAAGCTTGAAGGAGTAAATGCCTCCAAAATGACAGCTCAAAATTTCAGCCACCTACCTGGGACCTATGCACAGCTACTCACAGCAGCATTGCTGAGGACTTTCTATGTGCCAAAAGTTGTGCTAAGCGCTGGACATGCATTGTCCCATATAATCCTCACGAGGGCCTGTGAGCCAGATGGCCCTAGGTGGCATCCTTGTGGGCTACTTACTAGCTGTGTGGCCTCCAGGAGACTCTCCCTGCCTTGACTTTCACAATGGAGATGACCACAGAAACTACCTCATGAAGTTGTACTAAATAATAGAATTTATGTCAAGGGCTTAGTGCCAGGACATAGAAAGCGCTTAATAAATAGTATCTGTTGGGTGGTTCTCTTCCCATTTTCCTCTCAGGAAACTGAGGCTTGGGGAGATGATAGAAGGCAGTGCAGATCTTCAGAAGAATCTTTTTTTGAATATCTTAGCTTCGGGAGGGTAAAGCTGAAAGGTCATCTACTGCAATGGCTATACCCAAGTCTGCCAACATCTCAGCTTTGGGATGCATTTTTGTCCTCACCCACAAACGAGGTGCATCTGGTGCTCTGAGAATAGATGCAACACCAGATTCTGCAGGCTTGTGGGAGAGCCGAGCTTTCTCATGCCAGCCCAGGTACAATTCTTCCCTATTCCTGACTCCTCTCTCTGTCCTGGTCATTGAAGCATCACCTCTCAGAACAATGCAACATTCGGCAGAATTGGATCCCATTCTCTCTTTCTCTGTTGCTAAGTAGCTACCTTTCAGCTGTGATCTTGAGCAAATTATTAGCATCTTTGTTCTTTACGGTGTTGCCTCCGTTTTCCCTTATTATTGTTATGGTTACATTGTTACAATTATTATGAGTACTCTATGGAAGAGTAATTATACACAGAAATGAATGAATTAAGGCTCCTGAGTATTCATAGATGATAGCATGGAAAAGCTGAAGCCAGGCAGGCTTTAGGCACTAACTAGTACGTGTTTAGTACTCTACAAACTCCTTTCTATCAATATCTTACAGTAGTTGTTACAACAGCACCAAGAGGTAGTCATTATTAGCAGGCCCACTTCTAACCTAATTTTTTTTAAAAATCCTCACCTGAGGACATTTTTCCATTGATTTTTAGAGAGCGTGGAAAAGAGAGGGAAAGAGAGAGAAACATCGATGTGAGAGAAACACATTGATTGGTTGCCTCTTGCACGAGCCCCAACCAAGGCCTGGGCCAGGGAGGAGCCTGCAACCAAGGTATGTGCCCTTGATCAGAATTGAACCTGGGACCCTTCGGTCCCCAGGCTGACGCTCTATCCACTGAGCCAAACTGGCTAGGGCTAACCTGATTTTTAAAGTTAGGAAAGTGAGCTCAGAGAGGTAGAGGGGTTCGCCAAAGGTCACACAGATAACAAGCGGCAGCTCCAGATTCAAACTTGGGTCTGTCTGTCTCCAGACGCCATGCTCTTCCTACAGCCCAAGACACCTCCCTGCAAGGATCACTTGTTGAGCAACAATTATGTGGCAGGCACTGTGCTCAGCTCTCAGCGCATCCGGAAGATGGTTGATATCTGGGCATCTTTGCTAGTGAATCTGTTTCCACATGAGAGGCAGTGGAAGGGAAGCTGATTTCCAGGGGTCCAGCAGGGAAACAGAGAAGTCACCTCCCCCCTCACCTGTCCCAAAGTCGATGGTCCTCAGGGTGTCTGCTATGTGGTCTAAATCCAAAGTGAAGTAGTCCATGTTTTCAAAGCCCTGCTCTGTCTTCCCCAGCTGGCAACCCTTGGAAGCTTCCACAATGCTGTAGGGAATGTGGGGTGGAGAGGGTGGAGGGAGAAAGAGAGAGAGAGATGAGGGGGTTTAGTGTAGGGATGAGGTGTTTTAGCGCCAAGCACACCAGTGCACATGCTTATGCCCACACCCAGGCCTTGCACCTAGAGGCCCCCTGGAGAGGTGGAGTAATTCCTCTCCAGTCACAAGCGAGTACAGGTCCAGGAAAGCAGGGAATCACACTAAGGCCAGAAAGCCAGCCTGGGCGAAACCCTCCCAGCAGCCCTAATGCAAAGCGGGAGGCCGTGGGGGGAGCAGGGGCCTTGGATCACAGCCCTGGGGAGACACTGACCTTTTGATGAGTTTCTTGGCACTCTGTGGGGGAGAGAGAGCAGAGGGTCAGGATTGCATTAGTTCCAGGAAATCAGCAAAACCAGAGACTGGCTGCTGTAGATGGGCCCTTGGTGTCATTCCCTAGCTTAGCCCTGACCTGCTCCCCACCCTGAGCTGAACAGAAGTTGGATCTTTCCTCTGTCCATGGTCTGCACAGGTCTTGGTGATTACTCTAGGCCAGCGGTCGCCAACCTTTTGGACCTCATGGGCACCAGTGGTCCGCAGACCACCGCTGCTCTAGGCCCCTCCCATTGTCCTGGCAGGAAGCTTGGATTTTAGGGATATCAGTCTAAACACCTTAATCCCTGGACTCTCCAAGATGAGAATCTTATCCTAATCACTTTTTTATAGCCGATGCCTAGCGCAAAGCCTGGCCTATGGTAGGTGTTCAGGAAATTTTTATGAAAGAACAGAACTGTAGGATCTTATAGCTGATCCTTTTCTGTCTCCCCAGTAAGCTCTTCTAGGGCAGGGTCTCGGTGTCTCTACCTCAGTGGATAACCTATAGTAGGTGCTTAATTAATAGGCTTAAATAGGGATTGTCTCAGGCCCAATTCACAGAAGAGGAAAATGGGCCTCAGGGAGGTTTCAGTGACTTGCCCAAGGGCGTATGGATGGTCAGTGGAGGAGCATGACTTGAACTTTAGACTGAGCGGTTGAGCTGGCGTGATTCTGGGCACACCCTCCTAGTCCTGCTCACCAAGAGGAAGATGGCTCCACCAGGCTCGTCCAGAGACTGGATGGCTGTCTCCACCAGCTTGGTGGACTTGTCCAGCTGCTCCCGGTACTGCTGGATGAGGGCCTCAATGAAGCTGAGCTTCTCCTCCTGCTCCTTCGTGATCCGCTGTAGCAATTCGCTCTTCTTCTCATCCAGGATGGCATACAGCACGTCAAACTTCTGGCTCAGCTCTTCCTTCACCTGGTGGCTGTTTTCCTGGGGGGACACATCTGGGAGTCACATCCTGTGGGGTCCTTCCTATCTCCAACCCTTCCTTTCTAGGATGGATGTACGAGGAACAGAGGCTCTAAAGCTAGAAGACCTCTGCCCTGGCTGATGGTGTGGCTCAGTGGTTGAGCACAGGCCTGTGAACCAGGAGGTCATGGTTCAATTCCTGGTCAGGGCACATGCCTGGGTTGTGGGCTCCGTCCCCAGTAGGAGGCGTGCAGGAGGCAGCAGAACGATATTTGTCTCTCTCTAAAAATTAATAAAAAAATATTTTTGAAAAGTTGGAAAAGGTATTTCTACACCCTCACTTTACACAAAATAAAATGAAGGCTTAATAAGAAGAAAGCACTTACTAAGTTTTCATAGCTACGTGGTACATGTTTGGAGTCTGGTGTCATGGAGAAAGCAACCCCCTTCCTCAAAAAATAGAGACTCTAAGGACAAATGAAATGATATATATTCTGGCCCTCCTGTGTGTCTCCAAATCTCACTCTTCCTCCCATTTTAAGACCAAGACTGGATTCAAGAAGCTCTGCATCATTTGGCCCTAGAAGAGGAGGAGGAGCAGCTCCTCCCCTAAAGACCTCCTCATTGAGGCCCTCTTCTCATCAACACAGATGTTACACCTCAGTTTCTTATCTGTAAAATGGGTATAATAATAGCATCTCATCAGACTCGCGTTCTAACATTACTTATCAGTCTGGGAGTCCCATCACGAGTGGTAATAATGTCCCCTCCCTTCCTTCGAATCTATCTAAAACACACACTCTTTGTCTATCAACAATACAATGATCCCTCCCCCTGTCTGATTTCCAGGGCCTCATCCCAAGTGAAGAAAAATCATAGATGCTTTTGTAGAAACAGAAGTTTTCTTCTGCCTCTGCAGTCTTTTTTTTTTTTTTTTTTTTTTTAATATATTTTATTGATTTTTTACAGAGAGGAAGGGAGAGAGATAGAGAGCTAGAAACGTCGATGAGAGAGAAACATCGACCAGTTGCCTCTTGCACACCCCCTACAGGGGATGTGCCCGCAACCAAGGTACATGCCCTTGACCGGAATCGAACCCAGGACCTTTCAGTCCGAAGACCGACGCTCTACCACTGAGCCAAACCGGTTTCGGCTGCCTCTGCAGTCTTGCTACTCAAAGTGTGGTCCATGGACCAGCAACTTAGGCAAACCCTGAGAGTTTGTTAGAAAAGCAGAATCGCATGCCTCCTTCCAGACCTACTGAATCAAAACTTAAATTTTAACAAGACCCCAGAGTGATTTGTATGTACTTTAGCGTGTAAAACCTTGGTCTATAGCACACAGAGAATAATGGCCTAAACACTACCAATGCTGGCCCTGGCAGGTATGGATCAGTTACTTGGGCATCGTCAGTTACTTGGGCATGCTTAGTACAGTTGTCAGGGCACATGCCCGCTTGTGGGCTTGATCCTGGTAGGGGGCATGTAGGAGGCAGCTGATCTGTGCTTCTCTCCCACATCGATGTTTCTCTCTCTCCCTTCCTCTTTCTCTAAAAATCAATTTAAAAAAACAAAAAGTACCAATGCTAACAAAAGAACACTGGGAATTATTGGTGGGATGGGGGTCTGTCTTGTTCACCATCCCATCCCCAGAGCCTTTTGGCAGGGGCTGACATAGCTGTGCTCAAGAAGCATTTGCTGAATGTGTGGATTAATGGATAATGCATAATGAATTAATGGATTAGTGAATTAGTGGATTAGTCCGTCCTTCCTCACCATTCCCGCTGGAACACCCTACTCCAGGCCCCAACCTTGAGTTACAAGCCATGGGTGAGTCTTTGCCCCGCAGACCAGGCTGCACTGGAGGCTTCAAACCCCCAGGCAGAACTGCTCTGTCCCCTCACCTTGGTCATTCGACTGGAGTCCTCCAGCTGGGTGATGATGGTCTGCACGCGGTCATTCCCCGCCACCAGCATGGAGATACAGTTACTCAGTTCAGTCTAGATGGGAGGAGGGGCGGCGGTCAGGAGAGGAGAGACAGAAATAGTCTCAGGGCCTGCCCTCCTGGGATTTGGCAGCACAATGGCACCCTCACTCCCCTCTCTGCTAGCAAGAGCCTGCAGTAGCCGTCTGGCCCCTCTTTCTGAGGTCCAGAGCAGAGAATATCAGATAGTGTTTCCTTTATTTTACAGATGAAGCACAGAGAGGGGAAGTAAGCTGCTTAAAATACACAGCAAGGCACTGGTAAAGGAGGGGCTTTTTTCTAGGAAGGGAGGGATGAAGGAAAGAAATACAGTTGGGAGTTCTAAAATAGTGAAATCATATGTGAGGGCTATCTGGCTGTGACATCTGTCACCCCATTGATCGCCAGGGTTGATTCGGCTAATCTGGCTGGCTAGACTGGTGTCCCCTCCTCCCATTCAAGAGGAGAGGACTGGGGCCCAGAGCACACTGGGATATAGAACTCATGGCCTGAGACGTTCCCTGGTGGCCTGGCCCTGGGGTCTGGTCTCTCCCCTGTGGCCACACCCAGGTGTTCTCAAGTGGCTCTAAGTATAACCCATGAGCTCAGCCACCTCCCCCAGGAAGGCAAGAACTGCTGTCCCTGCAGCCTGGGAAGTCCCTTCAGAGGGGCCATTATTAAAAGGCCGGCTCAGCAGGTCTGCAGGGATCAAATCCACAGCCTGAATCATGGGGTCATGCCCACCAGGCCCAGGCTGGGGGTGGAAGCGGCTCGGGCAGTACCTTCTGTCCCTGGAAGACACTCTGCAGGGGGGCCACCTCACAGGCCTGGTGGGCTCCAAACACCTTGCACATGGAGCATGTGGGCATCTCACACGTGAGGCAGTAGATGTTGATTTTCTCGTCTTCGTGCTCCTTGCACATGGGGTGACTGCCCTTCTGCAGGGGCCTACTGAAGGGGAGGAGTCACGAAGTCAAAAGGCGGGGTCCCGGGTCTCTGCCTCCTCCCTCCGCGCCAATCACAGCTCCTCCTCACATCTATCACCCAAGTTCTCAGTGGTTAGATGTCCTTAATCCTTTTTGTTAAATCCTCCGGGGACCCAGGACCAGGGAAGCCAATGACACCAAGGCTGTCTCCGTAGACCAGTTGGCCTGGTCATGGGAAGGGTAGTAGAATCTCAAAGTTATCCGATCTAGAGACATTTCCAAGAGGAGGAAACTGGGCCCCAGAAAGGTGAATTGACTTGCCAAAGGTCACTCAGCAAGTCAGGGTAGGGAAGGCTAAAGTTCATTTGCTCTAATTATAGTCACCATAGCTCTCAGTTTCTGCAGGCTGGGTGCTAAGTGAAATAATTTATCCTCATGGCCTCATTGAATTCTATATTTAACTCGCCAGACTGTAACTTCCATTAAAGCAGAGGAACTTGCCTATTCTCTTCACTCCTGAATCTGCAGTGTACAGTGCCTGTGCAGAGGAGGGGGTAAATACGCAAGCACCAGAGGGTGTCCCAAGGCTCAGAGAAGAAAGCACTGTGTGTGCCCCAAGTCACACAGCCGTTACATGGGCAGCTCAGGGCTGTCCAACAGCCCAGCACAAGCCTGACTTCCAGTCCAGAGGTTGTTTCCAGGGTCTAGTCTCTTCCTTCTCAAATATCCATTCTTCGAATGTCTTTCTCCCTTTTTCTCTCTCTCCACCCAGGGTCTCTGGCATGTTATTTGTGCCTCTCTCAGGACATTGGTTATCTCTTACCCGAGATTCATTTGTGGAGAGTCTAGGTCTTACCTCCCCAGCTAGACTCCGCACTCATTTAGAGTCAACGCTGTGTCTGTGCTACCTCTGACTTCCCAGCCCCTAACATAGCAGGCACCTCCCCAGCCAGGGCTTCCACATCTGGGTTTGAATCCATATTGTCCTGAATGTATTCATTTTGTGACCTTGGACAAGTGCTCTCACTTCCCTGAGCTTTGGTTTCCTCCCAGAGCTACTGGGATCATGGCAGTTGTCTGTAATGAATGTGTGGTGCCTGCCACAGGGCAGACCCCCCCTCCCAAGGGCAGCTAGCATTGTCATCCAACTATTCAAAAAGGCCTCAAAGGGTTCCAACAGAACATGCTCTTCAGAGGTCAACACTGGATGGGTTAATATTTTGGTGCAATGTATATTTTATTACGATTATAATGATCAAAAATATATTTGCCTTTTTGTAGTGTTGAGCCCTAGCAACGTGAGAGACAATAGCAGTTAGAAGTATTCATCATGGGACACACACTCTCAGCTTCACCACTTGAGAGCTGAGTGGCCTTGAACAAATCTCTGAACCTCTCTGAGCCCCCTCATTGCAAAATGAGGGTAAGAATGTCTTACAAGATTATTGTAAGAATTAAATAGTGATAATGCATGGGACATACTTAGTACAGAGCCTACACACAGTAGGTGCTCAATAAATATTTGATATTTGTAACATTTCCCATCAAAATCCTATACAGTCACAAAACACATCTTACTGCTCCCTCTGCAAGCAAGGGAAATGAAAGCCCAAAAACTTACCCAGTATCCTACAATGTATTAGTTACAGTCAGACTAGCAAACACAGTGCCCAGGCCTGGAATTTTCTCAGTAGGACTGCTCTGTCATCTTCCCTTGGGCAGGACACTGCCTGTAGGACCATAGGGCTGTGAGGTCAGCAGCCGGGAAGCCTTGTCAGGATGTCCTGATTTGTAAAGATCTCCCTTGCAGCTGTGTCTCTCTTCAATTCAAGGTCCAACACCACACAACCTCCGCCACTCACTAATTCTGCCTGAGAAAGAACCGCTATTCTAAAATTAGGGAGACAGAACTCCATCACTGGTCCCACTCCCAGCTCTTACACTTCCCAGCTGGGCAACCTTGGACAACTGACTTCACCTCTTTGAACCTCAGCTTCTTCTTCTGTGAAAGAGCCATGCCTGATCCACAGGGGTGCTGTGAAGCAGCAGGAAAAAGCATTCCCAGTGCCACCTGGTGCTGTGCCTCCCAGCACATGGGACCTTAGCTGTTGCTATCATTATAGAGCGGTGATTTCAACCTTTTTCATATACAGACATACGTGTGTGTGTGTGTGTGTGTGTGTGTGTGTGTGAGTGTGTGTGTTAGAGGGAGAAAAAGGGAGAGGGATAGAGAGATGGAAACTGCCACCTGCCCATCTCCCACTGGGGATCAGGCCCCAACCAGGAATCAAACAGGGAACCTCTTGGTTCATGGGTAGATGCTCAACCACTGAGCCACACTGGCTAGGTGATTTCAACCTTTTTCATCTCATGGCACATATAAATTAGTTACTAAAATTATGTGGCACATCAAAAAATTTTTTGATAATCTGACAAAAAAAAAGATATAATTTTGATTCATTAACACCGATGGCTATTGTTGTGTTGGCTATTATCTTTTATTTGACAATCTAAGGGAAAGGAGGTCAGGTATTGCATGTCTTAAAAATTCTTGTGTCACATCAGTGTGCCATGGCACACCGGCTGAAAGTGGCTGCTATGGAGAAACTGACTATGTCCTCACTGGGCGCTTTCTCTGCTTATCAGGGCCACTTAGCTGTCCCTAGTGCCTCTCTGTCCCTCTCACTGCTTGTCTTGCCTCTGGTTCCTACCGTATCTTTCAGGTGGACAGCCTGGGCCCCTTCCCTATTGCTGAGTGATAGGAGAACCAGGGTTGGGGGAGAGAGTAAGCCTCTGTTCCTGCCTGAGAGTGGGGGACACTCTCTCTGGACTGGCTTGTTGGCTAGTCCACCCAGGGGACTGGATCTGGAGCAGATGAGGGGGAAGGAGCCTGGGAGAGCTGGGCAGAGCAGTGAAGGCAGGAGGCCGGCCTCCCAGCAGCGGGCAAACTGACCTTGAACACTCCAGCTTGTAGATGTCAATGATGTTCTCCACCAGCAGATTCCTCTGGAGGCCGTACACCCCGTGGCGGTCCATGATCACCTCGTGGCGGCAGGACGGGCAGCGGAAACGGCCTCCAGTCATGGACATGGAGCCACCCCGGCTGGACCAGTAGGGGTTTGCGGCCTGTAGGTGGCAAGGGCAGAGGTGAGGCCTGGGCTCCCGCCTCAGCCCCTGCCCCTTCTAATCTCCAGGTTATCCTCCCCACTGCTTATCCCAACCATTCTCTGGTCAAATCATGACCGGCAGCCCCTGTCCTGAGATGAGAGCCAGCTCACTTACACAGGGAGCACCTGGTAAGCACGAAGCCATCGGCAGGTTTGAGAGGCAGCAGGCTTGGGTTCAAGTAGTGGTTATTGTCTGAGTGACTTTGGGCAAGCAACCTTATCCCCCCAGCCTCAGTTTGTCCATTCATTGAATGGGCATTTTAATTAGAGCTAGTGATGAGGGCCAATACTTTAAAGAGAAGATAGTGAGAGAACATTTATCAAGTGCTTCTGGGAAACCTTGAGTCCTACCTCCCAGCCAGGACATCCATTCTCCTTCCTTTCTTAGGAGAGGAAGCCCCTCCTGCCCTGTATTTGAAGGATCAGCCTGGAAAGGGAAAATGCCTCCACTGCTCAGCGCCTCCCACCCTCCCTCCTCTGAAAGCTCTGGGCCCCCTTCCACCAGGGAGCTGGCTCCAGCCCCGGGGTCTGGTTTCTTTCTCCTCTCCCCTGCCTCCCCCACTTATCACTTGTGGCATTTGACTCCTGATTGAAGAGTCAATTGCTCGGAACAGAGGTGGCTGGTGGCAGAGCTGCCGGCAGGGTGGGGAGGGAAAACGTGCGTCATGGAAATGAAATCGGGCAGCCAGAACCACCACCCCAGCCCCCTCAGCCCGGTCCAGAGGCCTTTGCCAGGGAGAGAACCTGCCCGGCCATGGTTTAGGAGGGATCCTGGACTAAGAGAAAAGAGCTCTCATCATAGGAAAGCTGAGGACTCCCCCTAAGCCCCTGGGACTAGGCCATGCCCAGCACTCACCTGGAAGATGTCATTGGCACACTTCCGGCAGAGGTTGTGCTGGCATGGCAAGATGACCACCGGCTTGGTAAACATCTCCAGGCAGATGGGACAGATCAGCTGCTTCTCCAGATTCTCCAGGGGGTTCCCATCCTGGATCAGGCTTGATTTATAATCCATACTGTCCAGCGCTGTGGGGCCCACCTGGCTGCCTCCTCTACCTGCCTCGCTCTGAGCAGACCTGGGGTCTTGCCTTCGTCACAAAACACCCGGCCGGAGCCTCTTGACCTTCTTCTCCTGGCGCCCAAATTCTGTCTTAGTCGGAGGCCCCTCTGATATTTATAGCTGGACCCTGGTCACATGAGCCCAGGAGGGGACCAGCTGAGCATTCCAATGCCAGCACGCCTGGCTGACGGGGCTTGAGTTTCCTCCAGGCCTGCAAGAGCGGCCTCTCAAATCACATGTGGGGATGAGCAATCACTGTTCCCCTGAGCCGGGGGTCGTAAACAAGAACAGCCTGTTCGTGGGCAGACTTGGGAGAGGATTGGGACCCAGAGTTTCTTCCAGAAATTAGTCTCCTCCCACATCAGGCTGGTGAGCCAGAGATGGGACCCCGAGAATGGACCGCTGGGATTGTCAGGGTTAATAGCCAGTGCCCCCTCACCGGCCATCATCAAGTCCATCCCTCCTCTGGAGTCCTGGGCAGCTCCCTGGATAGGGGCAGGGCAGCCCCTCTCTCTGAGCCCATCCCTCTGCATCAGATCTGTGGTGTGGGGAGGGGCATGGAACTTTCATGCCCTCTCCAGGGGTACCATTCTCCTGAAAGGGGGGGCAGAAACAGAATGCTGGAGAACCACCTAGTATTGTAAGAAATATTAACCATGCTCTGTTAACCGTGATTGTTTTATTCTGATTAGAGAAAGCATATTCTTACTTGGCTAGAAGCTGCACTCAGCACCTGGGAGCTTCACGGGAAATGCAGCTCACCCTCCCCACCTGGAGCTGCCCATTATCATGGAAATATTAACAACCAGAATCACTAAGATCCCCAGAGCTTCTTGCATACCTGCAGGCCTTTGCAAGTCTCCAGGCTGCTTACCTGTTAACTGACCATTTGGTCTACCCTTTGGCTATTTCCCCATGTAACCCCAGCCATTGCATATCACTAAGCCCATACTCCCATTTGCATAGACCAGATGTCTGGGAGCCATCCTTGAGCTCCTCCCTCTCCCATTGCACACTCAGTCAATCTCAGCATCAAGCATGGGTCCATCTTTACAAGTCACGTGTACATCCTCCCATCTGTGAGTCTGACTCTCCCTTGGACTTTGAAGACTATAACGGCAAAACCTGCGTCTATTCATCCCTTTACCTCCAGTGCCTAGCACATAATAGATACTTAACAAATGTTTTCTAAATGGGTGAACAAGTGAACGTGTGAATTAAACAAGGAAACAGCAGGGTCATTGTCAGACTTGGGGAGATCAAGGTACTTGACCAAGTGTGTGTGTGTGTGTATGTGTGTGTGTGTGTGTCTATATGTGTTGTCTGAGATGGTGCAGCCAGTGGGGAAAAAGTACTGGAAGATTGGGGAGAGGGTGATGGAGTAAATTCTGAAGCTTTTGGAAGAAGAAGGACAATCTGAGACTTGAGATGGGAGGATAAGAGAGAGGAAAAGATGGATGTGAGAATCAGAGGTGTTAGAAAATTGAGAGAAAGGTGCTCATGTTGACCACTTCAGTCCAGAGAGTTGAGGTCAACTTCAGAGGCAGAGGCAGGGAGAAGGGTAGCATGAGTGGATGGTGGAAAAAGTTTGGACCAGACAGTGTGAAACACAGGAGGAAGTGCCCTGGGGGCGGGGGGAGGGCTGTCTGGAAGCAGAAGAGCCTCGCTTCTGATGTTTCCAAGCACACTGTTGCCAGTTGTGAGGAGTCATTCACATGATTCTGTTGACTTTCTCCAGCCACACTTGGCAGCCCAGGTGCAAAAGCCAAGCAAATGGACAGTGGGATCAACTCCAGCCTGGGAGCTGGCAAGGCTGGCACTGCTGAAAGTCAAGGGGTGGGAAAGGGAAATTCCCACATGGGTCATGCTGGGCATCAAAACATGTCCTGTCATTTAATCCTCACAACAGTCCTGCAAGGGAGGTATGATGATCTTCGTTTTTCCCAGGAGGAAACGAGATTCAGAGAATTAATGGCTTGGCCAAAGTGACAATTGGCAGAGCTGAGCTGGGGTTCACATCCAAGGTAGCCTGACTCCTAAACCTGTACTCCTCACACTGAAGCAGTTATTGCTGCTTATTGCATTCCAGGCACTGTGCAAAGCTCTTTCCATTCATCCTCTTGTTATCCTCAAAATAGCTCAGTGAGACAGGAATAGTCATGTTTCCCCCTGTTTTATAGCCGAGCTACAGCAACTCAAAGGGGTTAAGTCACTTGGCCAAAGTCCCCCAGCCAGCACCGGAAGTAGGAACTTATAAATCAGTATCATTACCAGTTATTAGAACATTCTATCAAATTATAGACTGACAGAATCCCAAATCATTTCCAGAGGTTGTGGATTATCTCACATATCTTTTACAGTTAGTTGCCAATTCTGATCCAAATAAGGTCTGAGACAGGGCATATTATTGATTTTGTCTCATCAGTCTCTTTTAATCTATAACAATCGCCTTCCCTCCCATTCTTCTACACCATTGGTTTGTCAGAAAATGATTCCGGGCATTGCGATTTCCATTTTGACATATCGGGAACTGAAGTTCAGAAAGGCTCAGTGACTTGTGGAACATCACACAGCTAAGAGACAGACTTCTTATTTGATATTGTCCCAAAAAGTCTGTGTTACTAATGGGAGGAGCTTTACTGTCTGAGACAGGTCTCAGCTGATTAAGAGGGCAGGAAAAGCAGCAGGGAAAATGGTCTGGCTTGACAAGGAAAAGAGAGAGATGGAAGGTGGCAGCAATTACAGTATAGCATTATTTTTTGATTTATTGCTTACAAGTGGCCAGGCATCCTGGCACTATTTCAGTCAGTTGTCACAACAAACACCAGTAAGTCATACTTATCTCCTTTTTAGAGCTAAGGACATTGAGGTACAGATTGGAATTGCCCCAAGTCTCACGGCTAGCGTAGGCAGAGCTGGAATAAGCCAATTTAACCCCACTGTCTATCCCCAAAGTCTATGTTCCTTTTGATTGTCACTAGAGAGGGGACTTTATAGAAACCTAAGATCTTGAGGCCTCTTGGTTGGGGGAAAGAACCATGGCCTGGGGCCTGGACACCTGGACTCCATCTTTAGCTCTGCCAGAGACCAGCAATGTGATGCCCAGCAAGCCACACCCACCTTCAGTTTCTTCATCTGCCAAATGGAGCAACTGAGAGAGATGATCCCTGAGTGTCCTTCCCCAGTAGCAGGATTCTCGGAGGAGCTCTTCCCTGTGATGACAACAGGCCTGTGGGATGTGCTGCAGGCAAGGAACCACCCTCTGTCTCCATTTCATTTCCGCATAGCTTGGGCTTGCTTACATGTTTCCTTGCTACATCACGGTGTTCCTTTCCACGTGTGTGCTGTTCTCTCTCCAGCCCCCATGACCTCCCTCGGAGGGTGGGGCCCACCGTGCCTCTTCCTCTGGATTTCCCCTCGAGCCTCTGTGGTGCCTCAGAAAGGTGGGGGGAGATCTTATTTCCTTACAATTTGAGATCAAAGTCATCCTCATAAAAGAATCACCCTTAATCAAGGGATCAACCAATAGGTCATTTGATCCAGAGGCTAAAGCCACAGTTGGCAGAGGTAGGTCCATGGGGTCTGGGACATGATGTAGTGCCCCAGATGCCAGGCCAAAGTCCCCTGGGCCTGGCCCATGTGCCATGGAAGGGGAACATAGAGTCCTGGAACTCAGCACTCAGGACTGGAAGCCCCTCAGGCCTCCTTCCTCTGTCCCCTAGTCTAGACTCTTGTTGTGGACAGCTACAAGGGCTCTGGGGAATGGGTGGCCTTAGAGAAAGGACTGTCCAGGGAACATGGGGTGTCAACAGGGCCTGGAGGGGGTTCTACAAGGATGATCCTGAAATAAAGTATTGAAAGTGCTTTATAGACCAAGATATAATAAACCATTACTATAAGGCCCCAAGAGTTCAAAGCAACAACAAAGAAGCTGCCCAGGCACTAATGAATCCAAGTTCAAGTTTAGGCTCCTTTACGTATCAGCTCTGTTACCTTGGGAAGGCTACCTAACTGTGTCTCAGTTTCCTCATCTATAAATGAGAGTTGGCTAGAATAATGATATCTCTGGACCTTTCTAGCCCTGAGAGTCTTGGGTTTTGAGTGACTGCCCCCAACACTCTATCCCTTGCAGAAAATTGATGGTAAAGGTGGGAGTCCACTTGCCCAGGCACATGGCACATATCTAGCACATGACAGACACTCAGCAAACATTGTTGTTAATATTTTCAGTCAACTTAGCTTGCGTGGCTCAGTAGTTAAGCGTCGACCTGTGAACCAGGAGGTTGAGGTTCAATTTCTGGTCAGGACACAGGCCTGGGTTTCTGGCTCGATTCTCATGTAGGAGGCAGCCAATCCATGATTATATCCCATCATTGATGCTTCTATCTGTCTCTCCCTTCCTCTTTGAATTAAATAAAATATATTTAAAAAATATTTTCACATTCAGGGGAATAATACGAGCTGGCATTTACTAAAGTTACTGTGGATAACTCCATGATTTGTGTATTAGCTACTGCTGCATAATAGATTTCCTATAACATAGCAGATTAAAACAATAATAAATATGTATTATCTCACCCCATTTCTGTGGGTGGTTCAGTTCAGTATCTCCAAAGAGGTTGAAGATGTTGCCTGGGGCTGCAGTCAGTTCATCTCAAGGCTTCACCTCAAGGTGACTTACTCACACGGTGGGCAGCTGGTGGGAGGCATCAGTTCACATTCCTCTCCCTAGAGCTGCCTGAGCATCCTCATAGCATAGTGGCTAGAGAGTGATCCAGAAAAGCAAGACAGCAGTGGCAATGTCTTTCATGACCTAGCCTCAGACATCACACACCATCACTCCCACTGTATTCTATTGGATGCATAGGACAACCCTGATGAAGTGTGGAGGGGAGCACACTGGAGCATGAATTACAGGAGGCAAGAATTATTGAGGTCCATCTTGGAGGCCAGTT